GCTGCGCTACTCTGTCGCTACCCTGTGCTGCTAAATAATTGTTATAACCGTGCATTAGCACTAAATAATAAATGAAGAGATGTTTGAATGAGTCAACTGAATAAAATCCAGGGATAATGTCGGCCAGAGTTTGTAATTGTCGATCAACTGCTGCGCAAATTAAGATATTAATTTATCCACCCCATCCCACCCCCCAGACAACATCACAATTATTAATTCATCGAGTCATTATTGATTATTGTTTAAATCTTCTATTCATCACACTCGTTATCGTCGATATTTCGTTGACGCGTTTTGTTAATTTTAAACATTTAATGATTATTTACGAGAATTGTGGATTTTAATGAATCATTGGATGTGTAATCCGCTCGTCACTGTGAATTTCAAAAAATAAAGAAAAACAATCGAGTGATCCACCATGGAGGCACTCATTGTCAACGACAACGTTACGTCATTGTATAAACAATTAGGCAACATTATATTTGTAATTGTTAACAATTATCATAGTCATTAAGGTTAAATAACAAAATGAAACTGTATTGTAATAGATAGAGTACCCTAACTGGAGCCATCATATTGTATTTGAAAAAAAAAATGAAGAATAATCCATAATTATTGTATCCCAAGTGGAGTTGGTAAATAAATATTACGATAAATAGTACTTCGGTGGAATTGGTTACAATTTATTTAGCTCGAGTGGGGAATAATACCTAAATCATCGTGACAACAATGTGATGACGGCTATCATTGAGGAGCTGAATGCCCACCATCTACACCAAACAAGGGGGAATGCTTTTTTCTCTCGCTCGTTCTCTCCCTCTTTTCGTGCTTTTTTTTTTTTCTCTCTACTACCAGTGGCCCCAACACGTGGATGCGAATTTTTCTCAACCCATGGGATGTTCTACTGTCGCTGTTAAAGGAAAAGTCCATTGTCATATTGTTCTCGTAATCGAGGGTCGAGCGCTCTGTTTTTGAGTCGCTCGATCGATTGTTCGTTCTACCGGAAGACAATAGGCAGTTGTATTCCACCCCATACCCCATCGAAACTACTAGCACAGCAGTGGCCATGTACCAAAATAACAGGTGGCAAATATATGATTCTTTTCATGGATTTCAATAGAGAGATTATGGATTCTGTATTCGCTATTGAACTATTTAAATTTGTCTCACCGGACAATCGTGATATTTTTTTTCAAAAACACCGACAAAACTGACATTCCCACCATCTTTAAAGATTGAGAAATATTTTTGATTGTTTCCTTGTGAAACTTCATGCCCCCAGTGTCCATAATGTCCCAAAGTTCTTTCAAACGTTTCAACCATTGTTGAACTCCAGAGTATCTCAACTGAATTACGAGTTTAAAAGTTCCGACTTGACCCCTGTGATTTTTTTTTTCCCCTCTCATGCCAACCCCTAGATATCTCGGAGGAAGACACCAGATAGAGGGACACGATGGAGAAACCCTGGGCTTCACGGATCATTCGACAAAGAGATCGGGACCACTACCCTTGAGGCGAGCCCTTTTGTATCCCAGACGGAAGCAGCTGCGATCACCAAAAAAAAAAAAAACGAAGAAGCCATTTGAAAAATACAAACTATACGTGCGCTTATAACCTTTAGACCATTGAAGAATAGATGAATGCGAGAAAACTGTTGCACCTTACCGTGCAGAATAGGCGATCATTGGGTTTATTTGTCTTGCCGCCTTTTGCGCACGCCTTCATTGTTGCGAGTTAAATCTGCAGGTCATTGAATAGGCATTATGACAATCCGATCCTCCCAGGGATTCACGAAATTCTAATCTCCGTATGGTATGGTATGGTCCTTATACCATTTGCAAAAAAAAAAAGACGAAGAAATATATAACCCCTACCCCTTGACGCGCTTCACCGAATTCGTATAATAAATACCGATAAATTTGTACATAAGGGAGTTAAACTCATACCTGAATATTGTGTATATACCTGTCATCTTTCACGTCACATCATTAAGGAAGCGCGAACAATATGGCCCTGACGATGTCTACCCGCGATCGAAATCGAGGTGAGAAAAAGAAACAACTCCTCAATGTGGGGAGATATATAGAAATGAGAGGTGGTCTTATATCCAGACGCATACATAAATGACTGGCAGGTTTTTCTTCAAAGAAACTTATACACGCTCTCTCACTGCCATCAAATATAAAAGAATACACAGATGTGCGACCAGGCTACAGGGGAATTGGATAAATTGAGAGCCCACCTGCATTCAATAGAAATGAATTTAATGAGATTTTAGTTTTTTATATTGTCGATCGGATCAATGCCACCAGCAATGAAAAATCCAGTGGAAATATCGGGAGAGTGTAAAGAATTCATTCGAATTCAATTAGTTCAATTCGAGGCAATTGTGTCCATCACAATTCAAAAATATCCATTAATTAATTCAACCGAGAAATTAAACGAATGAATTTTGGTCGTGATTCTGAATTTTTTAACAACAAAATCAGAAAAATGGAGTCTGAATGAAAAATTCAGGGAGTGGTTTTTCAAGGAGTGAATTTTTCCAATGAATTTTAACATTTATCAATAATTAGGTGATGATCAAGGGAATGTTGGAAGGCCAAGGAATCCCTTCGACTTGATTATGACTTTCGTTGAGAGTGGAGTGTATCCACGCTGTCTGGCAACTCTGGAATGTGACCCACAGATCAAAATATATGTCATTGATACCCGAATGGACCCGACGGGCGGGCAAACCCCGGGATTCCAAAGACCTCCATCACCTCACACCGTGTGTTGTCCAAAGAATCTTACCGTCGGCATTCCTTCTCGCACTCCTTCAAACCCACACACTTTAACGCACCAACAAAAAGCCCCTCAACTTCTTTATTTTCAGGCGTTCTTCTTTCTCTATTCACCTTGTGTTGGTCTTTCACCCAACACCATCCAGCATTTTCTTATCCCATTCAAATGAGAGAGAGAAAAAGAAAAAAAGAGAAAGATAGAAAGAAAGAGAGAGAGAGAGAGAGAGAGAAAGCCACCCCCGCGGGCTTTTTTTTTTCCCTCCGCCATGGATAATTTGTATACAGTATTTAGTGGACGCTCATTGTGGTGCTTCTGGTTAGTCACAAATTAGGGACTGCTGGCCATTTTTATTTCAATACTCATTCGGTCCAAAAGGAGAAACTTTAGTTGAGCCAATCGGCGTTATTGGAAATAAGCCATCCCTATTTTCGTCAGTGAATCCCCGAGTGCGCCGGCTAAACTCTCAATGGATTTTTTTTCGGCTCGATCGTTGTATGGAGGAGAGGATATCCCTGTTCCTCTCATTCTCTTCAATGTCTCGTTCTATTGATGCCCCTAAAGTTTCTATTTTACGGTCCTCTGGTAGATTGACAAAAAAAAAATAATACAAAACCGATGGGATAAACCCGACTGGGCTTCATTACAGATTTCATTTTGTCTCTTCTAATTGGAAACTGATATCTCATATAATTGAAGTCTTTTGTACTGTGTTACGGCCATTGTGGTGTGCCCTTTATTTTATCGCTTTGAAAAAGTCAATGGGATTTTGATGATTTACTCTGTATGAGGGGAAATTGCGGAAATAATTGACAGTGCAAAATGCTCGGTGCATTTTTGGTATTTCAATGAATCTAATTTTAAAAATCGAGGCATGACTAATCGAGGAGAACAACTCCATCATCCATTCCCTATTATTTGGCTTTCGGTGATTGAGTCGGTGCAATTGATGGGGCAATCACTTTCGATTATTTTCTCGGGTATCATCTTCCGAAGTAGATAAGAACGTTGTTTGAAATCTAGTCGCGTACATTTCTCATTCAGATGATTGGAGATCCGGTGTTTAAACCCAAACTCCGGTCCCCTTTTAATATAATTGAGTGGACGGACATACCGGTAAATGGAATTAGGATTCGTAATGCCTCGAGAGAGACCTACAAAACCCAGAATAAATTAAAGTCAAGCTGAGATGAAAACTAGGAGATAAAGATGTCATAATCTGTTGTCCTCACCGAAAAGACGGAATTAAAAAAATAATCGCGAATTACCAAAATCCATCCACACAAAAACAATACGCAATTCTAATTTCCCCTTTTCCTCCCACCCCCCAAAAAAAATTGATATATTATTTTTTTTTAATGGCGCAACACACGGTGATGCAAAATAATTGCTAATTGCGTAATGAATTTATTGCCTGAATGCGAAACGTTTGAATGTGCGGCAGTTTTGCGGCACAGCTGCCTGTCGCACCGTGTCCTTTGTACATGTTTTATGTATGTACAGTATTTGGACTGTACAAACCATATACCAACCACCCGCAATATATTAAGAGGCTTCCTTCCTAACAGGGTCGCGGGTACAACGCTTACCCTTTGACGCCCGTTCATTTGGTCTGTTAATAATAGCACTTAAATGACTTCGTGTATGCCACAGGCAATATAATGTATTTGTGGATTTTTCCTTTTAACCTCGAATCATTGATTAATGCAGACTACAAGTGCATTTATTACCGCTCACATCCAATATTCCAATTAAAAGTTTCATTCGCTTCTACTCATTAAATCATTCCCACCATTTGTTCAATTTAATTATATCATTTTCTTAACTAATTACACTAGTAAAATATATTTAATTACGATAACTCAATAATTACCGTAATTTTATGTTTAATATCCCAAATTTGATAGATGTCTGATGGAAATAATCTGCCAATTGACTGGTGAATATCAATAAAATTTTGACAATAGGTCAATTAGATTGTTTAACTCGCGTTATCGTAGATTAAACATTGCTATTGAATATTATTCATTCTGATATTTCTGAAGACGTATGTGTGGCATCCTGGCATCAGGGCCAGTATTTGTACAGGCACGAATGGTAAATAGAATTTCTGGGTGATGCTATACACTATTCCCGCACGATTCTGTCATATAAACTGGTGGTTTTGGTGTTTAGGTATGCGTTTATCCGTGTATTCAGGGGATTTGTGTGTACACCTATGTGTTGGCAGTTATGCTGCCAATGGCATGTGTGTCTACGTGATCCCTGGGTATAGGTTCGTATCCCTCACACCTTCCACCCTCTGCCCACCCCCTTTGTCCACCCCCACCCTTTTCCAACAATTTCGTTTCTTCACTCCCTCTCATCTCGTGGATAACATCCATGTACGAGTGTTACTTCGTCTGTTCATGCTAAATCCACCAACCCAACACCCACCACTCACTCGTAAAGTTGCCTACCACCGAGACACATTACAACTCTATGCTGTACTCGTTCATTTACATAATAGATGCCAGTAGCACACTACACACCCCTGTACATTATATCCCTGAATTTTCAAAGAAATGTTTCACGAGCTACTTGGGGAGATGGTGTATCATGCAGCTTGAATGCATTAGACAAATTTACTGTGTACAGAGTTTTGGAGTTACTGGCGTACTGGTGTGGGATGAAACTAATTTTATTGTTGAATATCTATTTTTCATGTGGCAAATGAAAATTTCAATATTTTTCTCTCAATTGATTTTTTTTTTTATCCATATCAATCACAGAAAACTGAAAAATTGATAATTGATAAGTGATAATGAAATTAAATGATGAATCGAGTTATTATC